GGCAGCTGGAACAGACGCATGTTTGGCACCTGTGATCCACGGAGCTCCAGCTATGACGACACGGCCCTATATTTCCCACCCGGAACATGCAAGGGATCTAAGCATAGTCCGAGCTGTCCCAACGCAAGATGAACTCCTGCGTCAATGTATTAATACTTTAGTTCGTCTTGGCGTGTATGCGCTATTTGCAAGAGTCACGCGAAAGCCAGCGGTCACCGCCACCTGAGTGACACCTATTCCCACACTTGTTAGTAACATACATAGTATAACATATTTGTTACTAACGAGGGGGGCAAACCTACACTGCAGTACTTCAGCGATAGCTGCAACAATCAGCAGTGACTTCAGGAATATTAAGAGGGCGGGTAAATAACATATATAATATAAATAACATATCAGGGCTATTGATTTGTCATCTCCCTGGATATCTCCCTTACAACACTGCTGCTATGCCTTCTGATGGTTCCCATGCCTCTCTCTTTCATCTTCACATTGTCCTTGACGATGTGCTCGCTATCCCGCTCATTCCTCTCCCAACTCTAGCTGTTCTTTTGGTTTTAGCTTGTCAACACCCTTGCATTCTATGATGCTCTTTTCCTTCTCTCATTGCCCTGGATAATCTCTTGCCACTGCCAGGAGCTACAAGGTATGTTGCTGTCCTTATGCCTCCTGATGCCTCTAACACCTTCAATGCCTCTCTCTTTCATGCCCTGCATCATTCTCGACAATGTGCTCGCTACTGCAGTCATTCCTGGCCCAGCTCTACCTGCTCCTTTTGATTGCTCCAACCTCATGTTGATCAGTCTTTGCTGGCGCTTGCTTTTACCCTCCATGCAACATGTCCTTGCCCAGGTCCTGCGCTACCATGATCATGTTCTTCCTAATGTGATGTGAACCTTTTTGTCAATCAAATGAGCTTGACACTGATGATTATTGCGCTCAGTGTTATCATTACCATCCTATCAATGTGTCTAGAAGGTGCATAGTACTAGTCTGAATCTGAATCTGAGTCTGAGCTTGAGCTCAACTCGTCATCAGTGTTGACAGTGGCTTTACTCTTGGGTTGTGAAACACGAGCCCTGGCTTTCCTTTGCATGTAAACTTGTTCCCCACATGCATGCCGATCCCAGTTATCCTTCATCCTCTTGACAAGCTCCTTGTCTGAGAGAGAGACCCACTTGCACGAATCAGACTTGAGAGCATTTAACAAAACCTGAACCTGTGCTCTTCCACCAACCTTTGAGGGATTTTTCACCCCCCCGGCAAGGGCCACTTAGTTAGCTCAATACCATGACGTTCTACTATAGCGCGCTCGTAGTTTGTATAATTCATTTTGACTTTGCCTGACATGTTCTTCTCCATTAAGATAAATTCTTCGATGAATTATGTTAGTGACAGCACAAGGGGATGCCATGAAGCACATACCAAGGTTATCTTGGATAAGCTCATGGCATTCACTAATAAGTTTGTTGAGCAGCTGTTGATGGTTAAGTGTTACATGTTCATCTTTGAGACAATCAGTAGGCTACAAGATGAGGACAAAGATAACATACCAAACTTGCTAATCACAAATGCTTCCAGCTTCAGTCCAAGATGCTGTGGCTCAATGCCTAGGACATCCCAAACAAATTTTTGAGATTTCTCTGTAAAAAAAATCTTTGGTTCTGCAAGATCTTCAATTCCACCGCATACTGCCACATAAAACCCCTCCAGACCAGTGCGTGCATGGAGCGCCATCCACTGAGGATAAATTTCAGTTGTATTAGTGGTGGTGTCTCAGATGGTAAATAAATAAATGAAGAGGTGCCAAAGATGGCGGAGACAAATGAGTAGACAGAGGGCAAACAAATAGACAAGAGATGCCACAAGGGCAAATGAATAAACAAGAGATGCTGCAGAGGGCACAAGAGGAGTGACAGGGGAAAACAAATAAATGAGAGATGCCACAGAGGGCACAAGAGAAGTGACAGGGACAAATGAATAGATGAGAGATGCCACAGAGGGCGCAAGATACTTTGACATACCTCACAATCCATGAATGTGAATGCTGCATTCACATCATGTTTGACGGCCTTTGGGTTTGAATGTGCAGTACGGTTCTTTTCTTGGTGATCCTTGAGAACACAGACATTGTAAGCTTGCTTTTCAGCAAAGGTTAGCTTGCAATAATCTTGGAGTAATGTGGCCTTGTTTTCTGCGATGAAGGCTGTAAGTTTTGTGCGATCACCTCTGCCTAAGCCTAATGAAAGATTTGTGAGCACCAGTGTTACTTTGCAAATTAAATTATTACACTGACCTTCATTTTCATCCTTGAGTTGGGCTTTGACAAATGCGTTCCAGGAGTTAACACCTCTGGTCTTCTGCAGCATGCAACTGCAAAGAAACAGTTGGTTTCTGGTCCACTTCACTGATCTACAAGACAATTAATATATATCAGCAATAAGATATTTATGATGCAGACTCGCTGGCCATGTTTTTGTGCTATGTCAGCAGCCTCTGCTTCGTACAACTCCTTGGCAGTGTCAATATCATCAGTGAGTGCTTCATGATGGGCATGCTGTTGAGCCTTTTGGGTCGCCATCAGTTGTGCACGCACTCGATGAATTTTAGGGGTCGGACAAGGAACCATTGAAGTCAAGGAGTGAATGGCAGCAAAGTTTTATACATCTCAAGTTCAGGGACAAGGACAAATACATGAAGTGAACTGAGATATTGTGAACAAAGCAATATGAGTGGTCCATCATATGCGAGAATGGAGCAAAGCGAAACAACTAAGTCCAGACTAAATTGAAGGTTAGTCAGGTTGAAACAGAGTCCAAATGGGCGGAACTCACTAAGTTTATGGTCATGACTTGCACTAGCCATAATTTGAAGCATGTTGTGATGGCATTCTTCTGGGATATCAAGCTTCACAAGTATGGCCTTCCAACTGTTTACTTGGTATCCCTCAACCTGCTGGATGCAGTGCCAGATCTCGTCCTTAGTACTGTGGTGAAGGGAAAGGCCAAGAAGTGCACTGTTGATTTCACCACAGATACGGTCATAACCTGCATCGCGAGTTGACTGAATGGGACCTGGATCAGATGTCATGAGGTAAATGTGGTTAGTGACTGAAACTCCGTCCTTGTTGCTGCACAACATGGTTTTCATTTGCACTGCATTTCCCGCCTCATTGCCGACCAGCTGTTTTTTTTTTCCCTGTCAGAATCCATTAGTTGTCAGGACATTTCTCAGGGTCAGAACACCCACATTGTGACGTTTGTGTGATTCCTTCACATCAGAAGAAGTTGGTTGAGCTGTTAGTTTCTTTATAGCAGGGGACGTGCGCTTCGCTAATATGAAAGGTTGTGATGGGGGGCTCAGACCACCTGAAAGAATGTGATCTTCTGTCATATGAGCAGCATGTTCTACAGCAGCACTGGTATTAGGTAGTGGCTGGGCTGCTAAGACGAAAGCATGTGATGGTATTGTGAGGGGACTCACGCTGCCTGGTAGTATATGGACATGATAACCAGCATTGTTTGGCTGTGTGACATGCTTAGGGCACCGCTTTGTGACTCCACTTGCTTCAGCGAGATCATGGCCCTTGGACACAGGAAGTGCAGGTGGTCGAGGGAATGACATAGAAGTGAAATCTGGGCTGCCAAATGTAGGGAAAGTCGAGTCACTCGAATGGTTGGTGTTAGACCACAAAGTTGGGAAGTCAAATGACTCGGATGTGAAAGACGTGATACTGTCGTCAGGAGTCTGATGAGCATGGTGACCATTGGGTGAGTCTGAGGGATTTGGATATAAGAAACCGTCTGGTTGGACATGTTCAGAAGACGTGCTAGAATTTTGGTCCAATGCTGCTATTCCTGCCGCACAACTGTTAAAACAAACTTATCAAAGCCACAAGTGAATCATATGTACTTTCAACCATGCTTTTAGGTAGTTTGACCTCATTCCAGCAGAACCAGCACTGATGGACGAGTGGTGCAAGCCAATTCAGCAAAATATCATGCATAATTGTCGCTGTGGCCACCTCAGCCTCAGTCTCGAGGGGACAAGAAGATGCAACAGTGGTAATGATCTGAGGGGATGTGCAAAAGTGTCCTGGTTTCTTTAAGAACTCGAATGCTACTGATAGTTTTATTTCAAAGTGATCTTTCTTGAAAAACAGATTCAACAGTAGCTCAAATCATTTAAATGATAAACTTACAATTTCCCCTTGCAAATCAAGATACTCTAGACAATTAGGGACAGGATCCAGCTCAACAGGGAACAAGCAAGGTGACATAGACAACATTGAGTAAAACAACAGTGAAGTGAGCACAGTCAAGAAGTAAGGTTGTTGAGTCTGTTTGTTCAGTATGAGGCATTTGATAATGGCAGCAGGAATTAAATTAGTCATAATGAACAGTATCGAGTAGGATTTGCAAACACTGAGAGCTCAATTGAATGTGCTATTTTAAAGGGTCAGTGCAGAGCTCAACTTCCTAAGCTTTAGTTTTCAATGACATATTTTGCAATGCCAACATGGATGGTCGAGATATTGTGTTGTGCCCACTGATCAAATGGGGCTCAATTAAATGTGCTACTAGTAAAAGGGTCACAAGCAAATATACAAGAGATGCCACAGAGGGCACAAGAGAAGTGACAGGGGAAAACGAATAGACGAGAGATGCCACATAGGGCAAACCAATAGACAATATATGAGAGATGCCACAGAGGGCAAATGAATAGACGAGAGATGCCACAGAGGGCAAACAAATAAATGAGAGATGCCGCAGAGGGCACAAGAGGAGTGACAGGGGAAAACGAATAAACAAGAGATGCCACAGAGGGCACAAGAGGAGTGACAGGGGAAAACGAGTAGATGAGAGATGCCACAGAGGGCGCAAGAGAAGTGACAGGGGAAAACGAATAGACAAGAGATGCCACAGAGGGCACAAGAGGAGTGACAGGGGAAAACAAATAGATGAGAGATGCCACAGGACATAGAATTGACAGTATGAAAGTTACAAAGAATGCGACACTAAATCTTCAAGTCTCATGGCCTCCTTGTTCATAGCATCATCTTCAGGACCATTCATGCTACCCTTGTCATCTCTGTCTCCATTGGATGCAGTCACTGTCTGGTCTGTAGGAAGACGATCACCTGTGTATCTGTCGAGTGTGTAAATTTGTTGGAGTTGCTTGTGATGGTTGTTGTTGACATGGTGGTGCTTGGCATACAATGTCTTCAACTCGGCTATGAGTGGAGAATCTGGGTCATCAGCGAGGAGTGAATCAATAGCTTCCAATGTGGTCCTGTCCTCGTGCTCAACCCAACAATGTAAGCATTTGATCTCGACATTGAGCCGTACAATCTCTTCATGTGATTGCACCAATTTGAAATACCTTGTGGCCATCTCACAATTAGCAGACACAGTCCATGGTTTTGTGAGGATATCGTGGCGTGAGTGTTTCAGAGCCGAAAATTCACTGAGATATGTAACCGACAATTTTGGTATAGTCAAGCATGGGATGTGGTGGATTTTGTAAGGGTGTGAGTCTATTGTACTTCTCCAAAGCCATTCGGATGGCAGCCAAATGTCATGTGATGGCCTTTGAGATATACTTTCACATCTTGTAGCCTATGGTAGTCCATGAGTACATCACTTATCTGAATGTCAAATAAGCGCCTACCAGTGCCGGCAAGATTAGCCTTTGATAACTCAAAAAGATGCCAAACAACTAAGCCCTCCAATTCCTCAACCAAATGAATGAATTGATGTTCCTGAGAATATCTGACTGCTTGCATGTATTTTGGGTCATGCGGTAGCCACCACTCCGTAATGCTGTGACGATGCTCAAAATCTTCGACAACATTCAATTGCAGCTCATATTTGCATAGTGCAGATGCATGCTCAGATTCGAATGCTCTGGAATTGTTGCGAGCGGTGGCATTGAGGCCAGATGTGCGAGTGAAATTTGCAGGAGTGTACATCAGAAAGGGCACGGAAGTAAGACAGCCATATGTTTCTCTAAGACATGCAATGAGAACTAGTACACAAGTAAACAGGGCGCAAATACAAACTCCACATATTGAAGCTTCTCAAGCTGTTCGATGTAAGCCACTGCAATTACATCCGAAGTAGGTTCCATAGCAACATTGCTGAGATACTCAAACTCCTCATTTCGCCAGTTTATGAAGTCCGCATCCATAAGATCATGGAGCTGCTTGAATTCCTTGAGGACGGGTGTGTTGGTCTCGATGATCTGAAGAGCTTGAACATAGTTGTTGTAAAGAAATGCGCCTGAAATAGTTAGAAAAAAATTGCTGTTGGGCGCTCAAAAAGACATACTGAGGTCTGAGTACTGGTCCATGTCCCATTGATCGAAGTGGAGGTCAAGGAACTGCATCCAATGGAAGTATGATGCATGTTGGATCAAAATTGCAGCACTGTTTGAACTAGCGAAGATGCATTCGCAAGTCTCAAGGTCTTCAAGTCCTAGACCATTGAGATACAAAGGGTGATTCTGAAGCTGACAGCAGCAGTCATGAGAAAAGCTGTGGAAGGCATTTACAACAACCTGTAGATTTAGTCCAGCTGCCTTGACTCCGATAGAGCTTGTTGCAATTGTTTTACGAGATGAGCATGCAATATTGTGTCCAATAGCCTGATCCATGCCGCAGACATCAAGCAGTCTATTGACTGTGGCCAGACCGTATTTCACACTGTTGGTGGATGATTAGCATAGTACAAATGAGAGTTAAAATACATACAGTTCACCGCTGCGTTTCATTTCAGTTACACTTTCGATGAGCCCATGATGACATGCTAGAAGAAAAATCCCTGTCTGGTCAAACACAGTAATTTTATCATTGTCCACAGCCTTGGCTGCAGTCCAGTTCTCTGTGCAAGTGCTCGATATCATTGATTCTACCGTGGAGGATTCACTAGTTTGACGCTGAACGTCATCCTTGAATTGGTCTACCTTGGCCTCGGAAATAAAATACCAGCTCTGAAATAGGTGTGGATCAGCTGATCCTGACCTGTCCAATCGCTTGGCTGAGAAATTGCCGTCCATTGTGTGGAGACATGCTGGTGACAAGAATGACTCATTAGGTTGCTGTAAAATTGATTTAATTATATCTACATATTTGAGAATGGAGCGTTACCTTGAATGTACAGGAAGGACAAGAACCATTGATCTGCCAGGTATTGGGATCTCTGCCCAAGATCCGGTCAATGTGACTCTAAATTTCCTGCAAGATTTGTAGATAGATATTGAATGCATCAGAAAATTGATCACGAAACTGTCGAAAATATGTAATCTGTATAGTAAGTGAGTATGACATCATACATAACATGCTACAACACTTACATCATGAAGTGCGCACAAAACCTTCGTGATCGCTTGGATACTAAACGAGGATTGACATCATCGTATTTGGTGATATAGTTCGAGGCATTCAATGCAAATAGCGATAGTCGGCTGTGGTGGGGAGCACCCCAAAAGTCCCATGCGAAGGAGGGCTGCATTCGCTGGTTCATTAGGACGCTGCTGGATGGTGATGGCACGTGCAAAACCTTTGAATGTGATTGAGTGTAAGTAAGGGCCATGTATTGAAGGAATGAAACCTTACTGGAAATTCCAACAACATCAACATGAAACATGTTAGATGCAATGGTATTGTCTTCGTCAGTTGGCACTTCATGTCTCCATGCCAAGTAGCCATCAACAAGGGTGGGCATCTGCTCCTTCCAAGCGGCATTGGCATGCTGGCGACGTTTTGTTCGGGTCCACACATCAATGCGCCCACATATAGGAGGTTCCCTAGAGATAAATGTTAGATACATATGTAGAGGGGGGAAAATGCTTACTGTTCTTGAGAGCATGTCTTGAAAAATTCAGACAAAAGCGGACCACCCACAGGCTTGTCCTCAGCGAACTCATTTCTGCTATCATCAACAATCTCACCTCCAAAGTCCATGGTCTCAAAGGAATCTTGCCCAGCCTCCAACTCAGCTTCAGTGAGCAGCTCCTGCATGTGTCTAGAATCATCTGATGAAAGTGAGCAAGAGACCATCATGAGAATAAGTGTCATACCTCGAATCTGGCACTGTTCTCGCTCCCTGTGAAGCCGTGACTCTCGTATTTGAGAGAGTGATGGTCTGGAAGTATGAAGATCCATGGAACTACTGAGAAGAGTCATGGTAACCCTCGACGATGTTTACATCCATCTTCTCGGGGGAACCATGATGGTGGTAGTGTAGAACCTGAGCAAGGGACATGTCGCATGAAGAGTAAAAGCAAGCACCAGCAAAGACCGATCAACACAAGGTTGGAGCAATCAAAAGGAGCAGCATGAGAATGTCATCACGTCCATTGAGAGAGCAAATGATGGTCCATAGGATCCTGAAAACCAAAAGATCAGCTAGAGTTGGGAGAGGAATGAGTGGGATAGCAAGCACGTCATCAAGGACGATGTGGAGATGGAAAGAGAGGGGTGTGGGAACCATCAGAAGGCATAGCAGCAGTGTTGTAAGGGAGATATCCAGGGAGATGACAAATCAATAGCCCTGATATGTTATTTATATTATATATGTTATTTACCCGCCCTCTTAATATTCCTGAAGTCACTGCTGATTGTTGCAGCTATCGCTGAAGTACTGCAGCGTAGGTTTGCCCCCCTCGTTAGTAACAAATATGTTATACTATGTACGTTACTAACAAGTGTGGGAATAGGTGTCACTCAGGTGGTCACCACACCAAACAGAGAGAAAATGTGCACCATCTTAGTGCGGTTCTCCAGCAATGATGGCAGGAGCTTAGTTAGTACTGTGCACAACACATTTTCTTATAGAACACAACATTCAATAAAAATTTCATCCAAGACCATACTCTGCTGCGAACATTGTGGTGGATAGTAGCCTATTAGGTTACATCATGATCGGGAAATCGTGTTTATGCTCGAACAGGCGGAATTCCCATGTACGCAGAGTCACATTGTCTTCCAGGCCATATCGCTGAAGTGGCCATTGGTGGTGCTGTGGCACAGATAGGGTTCAACTAATTTAGACACGATCATTGAATTGGAATGGCAGACACTGCAAAGATGGCACAACCCAGTCCTGGGCTGATGGTCACTCTGTGATGTTTAACGTGTCTTTTAGGGTTGTTTGGGGATGCATGATGATCACATTCTGTCTCAGATCTGGATCTGTTTGTGTACAACTCAGTACTAACTTATGGGGCTCGCCAATGCAGGTATCTTCTTTATCACAGTGCCTTGGAAATCGGATTGAGATCTGGAGATTGGAAATTCCAAAGATATTTATCCTCGTTCCCCTCTGTTACTTGGCCTGCACGACCATGCTGCAACTGAGGATATAATTCTGGTACCCAGATTCGCGGAGGCCCAATTATTTCAAGCTTCAAGATTTGGATAGATTCCAGCTAGTTTTCTTATCTCATCCAACACGCAGTCTCCGTGAATACATTGCCAAAGCCGCTGTCTTTGAGTGGCTGGAGTATACAGACAAGTGTTGTTTAGAGAGGCAGTCCTACCATTTTGAACACAAATATTGGTGGAGAGCTTCTTTGATTTGAACTCGCGGAAAATCTCAACATAAGTGAATGAAACATTTCAGGACACTGAGTGGGGAGCGGATGCCATATCATATGTGTCTTTCAGAATAAAACCACCAAGTCACGGTTGTTGACCCAATGCCATCTGGGATGCATCATTCTCTGCACAGACATCAGGAGGAGCACAACTGCGGAAGTTTCCAAGAGGATTCTCTCTTGCTGCTCCGTCAGCGCTGACAAATATTGTGGGTGTACTGAATTATCGCGTACCACGGATGTTCTTGTGCATGGTGGTCTCTCGGCAAGCTGGTCAGCTGCTCGTGTTTCACTCTCCACGATAGTCACAGCCCACAAACCTTGCTTATCAGTTTACTTCATTCTGCGCGCTCAAAAAAACAAACTAGTGAAATAAGCAAACTATTATTGAGTAGGGTTGATACTAAACGAGGGAATAGAGAGCTTCTTTGTTTTGAACTCGAGGACTTGGATGTTCTCAACAGAAGCGGATGAGATAAATATTTCAGGGCAGTGGGAGGATCAAACACACAGAGGGCAGCGAGAAGATCGGACACCTACAGTACGTTAATATTGTCGTAGTATGTCCCTGACTGTTTCTGGCAGGATCCTTGAGCTCCATGAGTACTGTGGGAATAGCCTTAAGTTGTCTTTATCTTACAATGTAACAGAAGCGGATAAGATATTCCCTCAAAGGGTGGATCAGATGAGCCAATCAGATCAGTTCGACTCAGTTATGATTAGTGTTCAGAGAGAGTTCTAGACTCTGGATTTGCCGCAAGGCTCAAGCCTTATATGGTGTTTTCAATTACCTCTAGTAGTTGACGCTAGGATGCTAGCGCTAATCCTAAAGCTTAAAGTCCGACTACAACCTGATCAATAGTGTCTGCACGTGTTCATTGGCGGGGAGAATGCCAAGTAGGTGACTTTTAAATACCCTTCAATTTGAAGGATATCGTTTCATAACATTCAAAACACCCCTCTGGTGCGTCACAGTCTGGCATCTGTCTCCAAAAGAATAGTGCTGACCTATAGTATAGTATCTCCTCCCATTCTTCAGACATTCTATGCCCCTCGATACCTTGAACGTGGACCCAGAAGCCTTCTTTCGAGTGGAACGAAGCGGCCAACCACTCGTTGTATATGAGTGTAAATTAGAGGGAGTCCCCTGCGGAATGTTCGTGGAGGGAACTACCAGCGCAGTGTCCGCGCACCTACGAGGACATGGCATCACTGGACCGGACAGTGCCAGCACAAATTGTCTGTGGGCTGGTTGCTCCAAGGCACTCAAGAGGGGAGGGATGACAAGACACATCCTTACTCACCTCGGTGTCAAGGTGCGCTGCTCCGTGTGCGGAGTAGTCAAATGCCGCCTTGACATCCTTCGTGCGCATATCAGATCGTCAGAGTTGTGCCGTTTGGCATGTGTTGATACCGTCCATGGACCCGAGGGTCGTTTTCTTGTCCCTACAGGTTGGACCACTACCCATCAGGTCTAATGATTTATGTTAAAGTTTTCTGACGGGCACTGTTTTGTACTAGGAAGCACTTTGTTGTATAATTATAGCGAGACGTATTGTAGTGTATTATACGTACGACATGGAAGTCCATGAACTTAAATCTGGATATGAAATTATCCCATGAAACTGTGACTGTTTCATATTACCTCGACGCCACTGGCAGTGCCATCGGCAAACTCCATCAGCTTCTAACATCGAGAACTTCCAAGTCCGCAACTTCGAAACTCTCTGTTCCCTCGCCTAGCCAAGCCGTATGGCATCTGCTCCCCACCCGCCGGTGTCCTGAAATGTTTTATTCACATCAAGATTTTCCACAAGCTCAAATCAAAGAATCTCTCGGATCCACCATCATACCATGACCTCATGGTTCAACAAGAAGTTCCATCATATGTTCGGATGACAAGTTGCTGACGGCCACCCAGCAATCTCAAATTTGCGATATTCTCCCAGCCTGCCAGGCTGCACAGATTTGGCCTGGACTGTCCAGGCCAAACCCTGTGCAGGCTGTAGCTCTGATATTCACATAGTTTTTTATAGCTGTTTGCAAAAGTATTGGCTTCGGCGATATTTCCAAAAAAAAACGTGTGCGCCACACCAAAAAATACAGCAATGTCTTTTGATTTGTTTCTCGACAACAACAAGAGATATCGCCAAGCTGTAAGAGACGAAGTTGGTCAGGGAACCAAGGCGAAGGTGCGCGCAACAAAAACGGGGCGATTTGACGAAGTCCAAACCAAGTTGTCAGATGACCCCCTCCCAGCCCTCTTGTGAATTGTTGTGAGCGAAGGGCCGAAGCTACTACTTCATGAAGGTCAATTAAGCATTTATTATGCGTTTCCCCAGCTGCGCAGTTCATTTTTGGTCGCACTATAATTGGATCAATGACTTAGCCTTACTTGCTTAGCTTATCAAGCAACATCATCCTCCCAACGCCAATAACACTCTTCAAACACGCCAGCATGCGAAAGTTTTCTGAAGATCTTTGCGAGGCCATTGTCCGAATGTTTCCACTGCTTGAGATCTCGGAAATCACAGCACACACTGGTGCCAGCAAGCACACAATCCAGCGAATCATTCGTTGTTACAAGAAAACTGGTCAAGCTTACACTGATCGCAACAATCGACGAGTCGGCCAGCCACGAACAGTACAGATCGATGATGTCAATGTAAGTTAGTGCCCTCGTATACAAATTATCAGACTTGTTTATGGCGGCTTAGTACCTTCATGAATGTGTCACTCGCCATTGTGATACATATCTAAACGAGCTACAGACAGGTGTGCAGCACACATCAAACATCAATCCTTCTCTTTCGACGATCTGGAGAACTCTTCACAGGACCGGATATACACATAAAAAAGTAAGCTCGTCTCCGGTTTTGATATTTCAGCTGTAATTATATCATACAAAGGCAACAAAAGCTGCTGCTGAGAATTGCTGTTCAATCTCAGGCTCGCCAAGTGCCAAGTCATCGAGGTTGGTGAAAAAGTTGTCGTTCTCCTCATTAACTGTTCCACTATCTGCCATCCCTGCAAGTATAGCTGCAGCTTCATTCTTGGCAGTTTCGAGCTCAATGGCATGTCTGTTCGAGTCAGATGACACTGGACTTTTGGGAGGAAGCACATGGACCCGCTTTGGGACTGCCCGTGGAGTTGGTTTTGGCTTTATGGCAGGTGCTGGTATGTCTTCGGCCACACCTGCTGTAGATTTTATCTGTTGTTGGGTAGTCCTTGCTGATTTGTTGACAGGTGGACGTCCTCGCTGTTTCGTTGACTTTGCAGCAGCAGATGCTTTCTGACGTGCATTCACCATTATGACAGAGACTCGGAGGATGGGTCACGTTATCGTGTGTTACGAGGGGAGTTCAAGTTGTGGGTACAGCAGTAGTACTGTAGTAGTTGAAACTTCAAAGCCTAATTCTTACAAAGCTCCGACTCGCCGAGTCCCAGCTTGATTGACTATGAGTCTATGACACATTTGAAAAGCATTGAAATAGCTTGATACATAATATTAGCACCTCCTACATGCTTTACTGAGTACTTGGAAACTCGCCGGTAGCTCACAGATACTGCCCTTCGCTCACAACAATTCACAAGAGGGCTGGGAGGGGGTCATCTGACAACTTGGTTTGGACTTCGTCAAATCGCCCCGTTTTTGTTGCGTGCACCTTCGCCTTGGTTCCCTGACCAACTTTGTCTCTTGCAGCTTGGCGATATCTCTTGTTGTTGTCGAGAAACAAATCAAAAATTATTGCTGTATTTTTTGGTGTGGCGCACACATTTTTTTTTTTTTGGAAATATCGCCGAAGCCAATACTTTTGCAAACAGCAATAATGACCAGACCAGACAACAACGAATAAGGGAGCAACTTAGTAACTATCAATCCTGTGAGGTGCAAGTACATAATCATATCGAGTCAGATCTGTCGCGACATGGTGGATTAGCGTTTATTCTTGTCTTATTTGACAGCGATAACCGGGGGCAAAATCACCCAGGTCACCCGGCTATTCCGGAAACAACCGTCCCTCTATGTTCCAGCCCACCTCCAGGGACGAAAGCTTGAGGTGTATTCTCGAACAGGACGACTTTGCCTAGCGTCTCCCCGTCACCACCACTAGCCACGGTTTTCATTTTCCCTTTTTCGACATATCCGGAAAGTCAACAAGACCGACAGCAGGCCGCACACCTTCCCCCACCTCCATCGCCAGCGCTGCGCCCAACGAATCCCATACATCCGCACCCTCCCAATCCTCGTCGGACTGACTCGGACATGACGTTCACCCACGCGTAGTTCACCAGCCGAGGCTTCATCTTTCTGTCCTTCTTGCCCCTGGCAAGCTTGCCGGTTGCCCGAGAGAACTCGGCGTCATTGTGGACTTTTGAGGTGCCTTTATGGTTTCTGATCCGGAGCGCTCGCACGCCCGCACGGAAATGATCGCTTGCCATAGATACTACACGGTCGGGTGCGTCGCCTACCAGTGTGGTAAACTGGCCTTCGATGCTGGCCCGTGCAGCATCATGAACCGGAAGACTGAGTAATCCCGGCCTCCCAAATCTCACAACCTCCGATTGTATTGATGACTGCATCGAAATGAACGTGCGTGCGCGCCCAGGAGGTGCAAAGTGAGATTTGCCCTTCCCCCACTTTGTATTATCCTTTGAGAGTCAGCCCAAGCCAAAGAACAGCCCACGAGACTTCCCCTCCTGGCATTCAACATCACCAGATGCGATTCCACGAGCAGTCTCCACGCTGGCCACCATCCTCTGTGCGAGTCTAGCTCATGTCAGATCGATGTCATCTCCAAACCCAAGTCCCGCACCTAAACTTTCTGCGGCTGTTGCCCTTCTACCTGATTTCCAGGGGCGCCAAGAACCAACACCGGATTTCGATCCAGAGGTGGCTGGCGAAGTAGCCGCACGAGGAAGAACAAGGCTAGTGAATCCATGCGTACCACTTGATGAGAGCGCGTCTGCCTCGCGTGAGGATGATGCGTGTGCGACAAGGGCGTCCAGGGCATTTAATGGCACCGATGTGTAAGGAGATTTCGTGGTTGAGGAACTTGCGTGAGAAGAGCTGCTCATTGAGCGAGACGCGACGCTGACAGCTGATGCAGACGTACCAGATACACCAGTTTGTGAGGTTATGCCAGTTGCACAAGAGTGTAAGCGCATCGATGACGACCGTGATGGTGAAAAAAGCGAAGGAGAAGATGAACTATGACACCTGGTAAACCTTGGCACTGGCTGCGATGAAGTCGAAGATAGCTCCTGTTGGGATTATTAGACCCTAAAGATGCAGCAGACGATGCAGCGGAGTGAGGGGGTGTCGAATGTGGAGAGTGAGCTCGAGGCTGGAGTGGAAAGGCCAACAGGGGATGACGAAGATGGAGGTGTACTGGGAAGGGTGTAGAACACCTCTTCAGAGTTGTGCTGAGATGGATCTATAGATTGACCTGCAGAAGCGTGAAATTTCCAAACTGCTTCTTGTCGTGGCGCCTGTGCCTTCTTGCTATGGACGTCAGTGGCGATAGAGACGCTAGAAGTGTGTCCTCCAGAGTCCAGCACTCACTTCTAAGATGATAATAGACTCCAGGACTGATCGGTTTGTCTGCACATGTTGCTGCAGAACATTTGAGACAAACAACGCCAAATCAACTTCAACTGCTGTGGTGCGTCACATTTGCGGCAACTTTTTCTAACTTTTTGCCTTTCTCTTAGGATCAATACGGGAACCAACTGCGCCCCCAGTTCACCCCTACTTAGATGCATACAATGCACCAACACGCGCTACTGCTACATCAGAAACCAGAGACTGGGATACCGCCCCACCATGCGGTCGTTCTCGTTCGAGAAGTCCTGAAGCCCACAGTATCGCTTAATGTAGTCCTCAAAAGCTCAGGTCTGTACCTCCTAAAAAGTCAACGCATGCTCCAATTGTACGTTCCACATGTTCTCATATTTTGCAAAGCGCTTATGGGGCAAAGAAGGCGTCCAATCTCCCCAAGTTTGGGGGGCCTTTAGATTAAGTATTAGGACACAAGGGCAGGATTTGGACGAGGAGTTCTCTTGCTTTGGAAGAGTTGAAAAAGTCACAATCGTTTACGACCAGAGGGTACGGTGATTTCCTGTGCATCTCGTTACCCTAACCCATGAAAACGTCTTTTTCAGTCCGACCGTTCTTGTGGTTTTGGCTTTATCGGAATGTCCAGTACTGAAGAAGCTACTCGCTACATTCAGGAACTCAATGGAATCTTATACCCTCCCTCCATATTACCGTCATTCCGATCGCGATAAGGATAGGGACCCCTACTACGATCACGACAGCCGTGATTGGCGTGATCACCCCAACCCTCGTCGTTACTCACCTGATTACAGGAGGCGCGGGAGCTACTCCAGGAGTCCTCCTAGGGGTAGTAGCTCTCGTAAGGATTACGATGGTCCTTCAGGGACCGGTGCGGCAAACTCTTCCAACCAGGCTGAAAACGGTAGTCGTTGGTGATGGTTCAGCTGTCATCTTGAAGATGTGCCGGTCGTGATCCTTTGTTTCAGTTATCGATGGGCGAAAGCATGGACAAGAGGTCTCGTTCGTACAAGCACTAGCGATTGAAGAGGTTCATGGCGGTCGTCCGACAGCAAGCCTCAAGTTGGCAATGTTCTTGTTACCTCCCTATCTTGAAGAAAGCAAGACATGGTTTCCGTGTTCGCTATTTTAGACATTCGAAATTCATCATCCTCGATTGTTTGCCTGTTTCCATTCCACATTTCATATCGCTCTGCTATTTTGTTCTACACTATCAACTTTCGCTTCCATGAAGAGTGGCAAGTCTCAAATTGTGATTGCAAGAAAGCTCAGGCACAACAATCTTGCGCATAGCGATTCAGCATATGCGGCCACTGGAATGTTGGCAGGCTTGTGGAAGCTTCACTAACCAGGCTGAGCGAAACTTACGTCTACTCATCTTGAACGACTCGTTCTGACATTAACGATTGCTCAATCAGGAGGCTTGGCATGTATTGCGTTATCAATCAAGAAGCAATTGCCGGGTACATTTTGCGCAGGCGTTTGATGAAACGCAGCGCTTTGTGGTCGAGAATCTCACGAACTTGTCGTAGCGAAAAGTTTTGTCACTACGCCGGATTCGAGTTATTATCGACTATCAGAATGCACCGCTTCCGTTGGTCAATCACCTGGGCACGTGGCGTTGACGTCAATGGTCAAGAACAGAAATAGTATTAACGTAGAGTACAATCGTACACATTTCACCGTCACGGCTGCGAAAGCTATTTTTCAACTGTGATGGATATCTATTTGTACGTATAATACACCATCATACATCTCGCTATAATTGTACAACAAAGTGCTTACTAGTACAAAACAGTGTCCGTCAGAAAACTTTAACATACATCATTAGACCTGATGGGCAGCGGTCCAACCTGTAGGGACAAGAAAACGACCCTCGGGTCTATGGACAGTATCAACACATGCCAAACGGCACGACTCTGACGATCTGATATGTGCACGCAGGAGGTCAAGGCGGCATTTAACTACTCCGCACATGGAGCAGCGCACCTTGACACCGAGGTGAGTAAGGATGTGTCTTGTCATTCCTCCCCTCTTGAGTGTCTTGGAGCAACCAGCCCACGGACAATTTGTGCTGGCGCCGTCCGGGCCGGTGATGCCATGTCCTCGCAGGTGTGCGGACACTGTGGTGGTCGTTCCCTCCACGAACATTCCGCAGGGGCCCCCCTCTAGTTTACACTCATATACGACGAGTGGTTGACCGCTTCTTTCCACTCGAAAGAAGACCTCTGGATCCACGTTTAAGGTATCAAGAGGCATGAATATGTACGACAGTGGATCGTTGCAAGGTGAAGCTGATAGACGAGGTTGTCAGAAGGATATGTTGCAATACAGGTCAGCGACAGTCCAGTTCTTATATGGATACCCAACGCACC